CACCTTTGAGTCTCACCCACCAGATTTCTGTTTGCAAAAAAAGGACCTAATCCACTTTTTTTTTGTCTGTGCATTGATTTAATAGTATCAAGCCCTGAGGTCCTCGTGGTCTGCACCTGGGTTGCTTTTTCCCCTAATGAAGCAGGAGAAGTGGTTTAAGCCCCTGCCGAGCTCCCTATCAAAGCCACACAATGATTAACTCAGGTCCCCTTATTAGGACCAGGAAGAAGAAAATCCCTTAGTCATCAGCATTGTGAAAAATCCCAGAATGGTGAATGTTCAATGAAAAGATTACCTTGGGCACCTGAAAAATAATGGAAGAGCTCAATAGAGAAACCATTAAGCCTGTCTACACACGCTAAGTCAGGTGGAGGGTCGAGGTAATTAGCTGAGACATTCAGGCCAGAGAAACAGTTTTGGGCCTTTTGTGCTGACTGAGTCAGTGTCAGAAATCATTCAACTCTCTCATACTTTTTTTTTCCTGGAAAAGCCAGTTTGGGTTGTACACACACACACACACACACACACACAGACACACACACACACACACACACACACACACACAAAATGAACAGTTAGTGAAAGTATTGGGAAGCCTACAGGCATGGCTCAAATGGTAAACCACTTGCCTAGCAAGGGCAAGGTCCTGAGTTCAAATCTCAGTAACTACCAAAAACAAAAGTCAGTGAGTAGATATTTTAAACTGAAAAATAAGCAGAGTCAGAGTTGGGAATTTCTTGGTCTCAGTTTCTTCAAACGTAAAGTGAGAATACTAGTAGGACTTCCTTCAGGAGATGTCTGTGGTTTACTATAATGTGTCATATTTGCATTCCTTGTGTGTTGTAAAGTACCCTTTGTTTCAGGCCTGTGAAAATATGAACAAGTTGCTCACTGATGCTCATTATTCTGACTTCATCCATGGCCTTCTCTAGCTTCCCTTGGTTTGTTTTCTTTTCTATCTTCATTCCCAGAACTGGCAATGTCTGGGGCATCAGGGATTGAGGTCTAAGGAATGTGGTAGAGAAGGAGTTTATTCTGTGTCCCAGTAGAGAGGCAGATCAGAAAGCTGTGACTCCCGGGAAATGAAGCCTGGCTAAATACACAGTTGTTGGAGAGCAGGTAGACCAGGTGTCTGAGGCACAGCCCCTCACCTTTGTCTCTTGTGTCCTGGCATTTGACTTGGGCTTAGAAAAAGGTAGATGGTAGTACTGAACAGAGTTGAGGCAGGGTATGGGAAGTGTCTTCTCGCCATGCCCCTGCTCAGCTGTCCTGCAGGAGGGGAGCAGGTCTCTGCCTGGGGCCTCCATGTTGTAACAGTGAGTGGTCACAGAAATGGCAGGAAAAGATCCAACCTGGGAATTGGCTTAGATGCCTAAGCGTTTCCTGGGGAGATTCCAGCTTCCTTTTTATAGCAAGAAATTGCTGTGGACTATTGTACAGTGAAGCTGTCAGCACCAAGAGGAACAGTAGTATATGCTGTATCTGTTCTATTAAACCAGTGTTTCTAGTAGTCACTAGAAGAAGAGCTCAATTTAGTACTACTTAGCATTGTTGTGTGGTTGGTTGCATTTCTGCATTTTGTTCTCCCAGTTTCCTTTTGAGTACCATTATTACTGCCCATTACAGAGAATGTTCAGAGAACTTAACGTATTCAAAGTTACCAAGCTAGGAAATGGAAGTACCAGACTTCTCATCTAGCTAGTCCTCAACCTATACTTTTAGCCACTCACGAGGGAAACTTTCTTTTTAAGTTAGAAAAGAAAGCTATATTCTGAAAAGAAAGCTATATTCTTGTGGCTCATGCCGATAATCTAAGCTACTCAAAAGGAGATCTGGAAGATTGTGGTTTGAGGTCAGCCAAGCAGAAGAATTCACTAGATTCTATCCCCAAAATAACGAGCAAATATCAGAGCTAAAAGTATGGCTCAAATGGTAGAGTGCCAGCCTAGCAAGCAAGTCAAGTAGGCACAAAGGGGAGAGGGAATAGGAGAAGGAGAAATGGGAAGAGGAAGAGAGAGGAAAGAGGAAAAGAAGAGGGAAAAATGATACACATATACTTTTGGTAATTTGCCTTTTCTAGGCCCTGTTACTTTATTCATTGATCCTGATTCAGTGCTGTGGAAAAACATAAGCATTCAATTCTACTTTGAGGTTCCTGTATGAACCACAGGATTATGTTCTTTCCATTAGCAATCACTGCCAGGCAAGATACTCTCACTTTCTAGAATACACTTCCAAATCCCTCTTTATACTCATCATCCACATCCTTCCTAAAGTTCAAGGGCCAGAACCAGAGGGGGGGGGTCCTGCTTCTAAATAATAATCAGACCACAATTTAGCCTGAGCTATTTTGTTCCAGTTTTAATGGGTGGGGAGAAAGATCAACAAGTGCAAATCAGCACTTTGGAGATAAAAGAGCCTCAGAAATTGAGGGCTTGGGTGGGTAGGAGAGTGTATGGTTTTCATTCATACCACAGCTTTCCTCATCTTCCCAAACAGCCTTGTAAGGAATAGAATTTGACTGGTGTCACTCTGTATTGGAACTACATGTTAGTGGTAAATGGAGAGTAGGCGTGTTTAAAGGTTGATCATTTCAGCTGTAGCAAAACTCCTACCAACTGCCAAGCATCAACTTTACTGAGCAGAGGAGGAGATTTCTAGCTGAGATTAGCTCTTTTCACTGCTCTGACCAGTGATACTGGAATGCCTCATGCTTTTCCAAAACCGTTGAGAAGATTGGGTGTTCCAAGGGCTCAAAAAACCACGTGATCCCTGGCTTCTCTGCCTTCAGACAGAGAATGCGAACAAAAAGTCCTATGGAGTTTAGTCAATGGATGTGATTGATAGCCCCATATCACATACTGGCTTATAGAAGATTCTGATCATGAAAGTATTTTGCCAAGTGAAAAAGATCATCTAATTGGTATAGATTGAGACTTCAGTGAAAAGGCAATTCACGTGTTGTTTTGTTTTTTGCCTGAACTAAATTTTGGAATGACAATGGATTGGAGACATTTAGAAGAAATTATCATTGGGTAGGATCTAAAAAGTCTTCTTCAAATTCCTTTATGCGCCCAGAGTGGTTTTCTTCTGCCAGCAACCTTTGCGGACCATCAACTGCATGTATAACCATACTGGCTTTCAGGGTGTAGTGTCTTCTCAATCTGGTCTTTCCTCTGCTTATTTCCCAAGTATCCTGAAGCCAGATCTGGTCACAAGGTTTCTCTCTTTCCTTCTGACCACAGATTTTTCCCCCCTTCAGTTCCCTGTCTAAAATCAGGTATCAGTTGATGACTCACTGAGGAAACAGCCACTAGCAAGGTTGATCTCATCTTTGCTCTCATGACATTTTGTGAGAGGCAGACATTGCACAAAAAAAAGAGAAGTATCCAGTTTCAATTGGAATTTGTGATACACAAAGGGAAAAGGTAGCAGGTTCATATAATCTGTAACAGGCAAGTAGGAATCCTCTTGGTGCAAATAATGATTCAAGAATAAAGAGCATAGTACTTCTCTATAAATGTAATGAATGTACATTCCTCTTTTTAAAGTTTACCAAACATTTTCATATATGTTTGCTCATGTGATCGGGCTACGAAGTGCACAGTTTTTGCTACCCTGTTCTGGAACTCTTCTAGGAACTTGACATGGTTGCTCCAAGTAAAACTGGTTCAAGCAGTCATAGAACTTTTTACTCTAAACTCTGAGGCCTTTTCCACTCCCCCTCCTAGTTTATTGCTCTGTCACTTGGGAGTTGATATTTTGGAAAATAACATTGGGAAAAGAGCAATAGAGAGACTCGCCCTCCTCAGTGCTTTTCTGGGAGACATTTTTGGGTGGAGGCTGTGATGACTAACATTGATCTCCGCCAAATGAGGGGAAAAAAAGAAAAGGGAAGCCGACCTGAAACATGAACAGACATCGTAACTACTCTCTGAGCATGGCGGGATTTGTGGTTTCTAGGCAAACCCTGCTCTGACCCAGAGTGTCACCTGTGCCTAGAGTAACATATGTGTTGTGAGTGACAATGTTAACACCTAGAACACCTAGAACAGGAAGCAATAGGTTTTATTCCTCTGAAACAGATGCTCTTGGCTTCCGACAGCATTCAGATCTCACCCAGGTTTGTTTATAAATGCTTAGCTACCATTGGTTCCAGGCCTACTACAACCCTTCTATCATTCTGTGGAAGCAAGCACTGTTGATATCTCCATTTAGAAGGTATGAGAAGTGAGGCTCAGAGAGGTAAAATATACGGCCCAAGGCCACCCCGTCTTTAAGTGGAAGGTCTGAATTGAACCTAAGTCTCTAGATTCCAATGATATATTCTATCATCTGTCCTCTGTCCTCTCCTTAAAGTGAAAAGGAACTTCAGTCCTACTTTCTGTTCTCCTTATCTGGGTAACACCTAAAACCAGGAGGCATAAGAGCAGGTTAGGGACTGGAACTGCCATACATCCTGTCTCCCTGGTTTGAGGAGGCCCACCCATCATACTCCCTACCTCTTGGAACTCTGAATTAACAGAAACAGGATTGAGGCACTCAGTGAAGACAACTTGGCAGTCACACAAAGGCCCAGGTTTGAGAAGTGCCTGCTCTTTACCTGCTTCTCTGCAGTGGTGAGCCTTCCCCTAATCAGTTTGTGTGTAGGTAGAGTTACTTCATCTTTTTTTTATTATTATTATCTTTAGGTAGTCGTACCAAGAGAGTTACCATTCAAAGAAATCAGTTTATGGAATACACTTCTCTTTGTCTTCTTTTAAAGGAAAGGGGAAAACACAAAGCTCCCACACTGAATACTGAATCTAAATCCATAACATTGAGCTCCTTCAGCCCCAAGAGGTGGCTATGAAAAAACTAGCAAGCAGTTTTTTGGGGTTGTTTTAGTACCTTTTCATATTCCTGGTCAGCTTCCTGTGCCAGCATATTGTTCTCAACTCTCTTGGAGATATAGCATCGAACTGTGAACAATTAAAACATAAATCTTCTTTCCTCCTCAGGTGAAGGCTGCTTCCAAGTATGTGGATGTACCTGTGAGTATTTGCAAACTGCTTTTCTCTGTGTGTGTGTGTGTGTGTGTGTGTGTGAGAAAGAGAGAGAGAGAGAGAGAGAGAATTACGTGTGTGTTTTCCTTTCATAAGGGTTTTGATGGCTCTGTTTTCTTATGTTGCCTGCTAAACTGTACAGTCCTAATTTGGATCATCAGAAAGCGAAAAGCCAAGACTACTTGGTAGTAGGATGTTTCTCAGACAGGGAGAAGGTGTGGTTTTCTTCCTTTGGGAAGAAAGGTCCAGTGTGAGGGTAAACCTTATGGTCTTCCCCTTTGCATTGGTTCTCTGGTTCTTCTTGCTGTAACACAGCTGCTCCTTCTGCCACACTTTGGGACCTCAGCCCTGAGCTAGAAATCTGCACAAGGGTGCCAGTATTTAAAAAAAAAAAGGCAAAACAAAACAAATACATTGTGAATTTGTTCATTTGGGGGTCAATTCAACTATTGTTTTAAGGAAACCCTGTAAAATTGTTTATAATTAGTGCAGGCCTCATTAATGAAAAGAGTCCTCAAAGTTCACAGATAAAGCACTTGTAGTTGCCCAAAATTTACATTTAAATTGAGGTTAAGTACTACACATGAATGCTAAAGTGTGGGATTACCTGTGATAAATTGGGAGACATTTATAGGCAGGCTTTGCCCTGCCTATTAGCAAAATAAAATTGGAGAGATTTAAATATAGTCCAATAAAGGAGGAAAGAAAATGATTTCTGTTTCTCCATTTCTAACAAAAGAGGTATGAGTCTATTATAAAATATTAAATTTAGGGAGCTTATCTCAATAGCCACCAAGGGTCTTGTGCTGAACGGTTCTCATTCTGAACGTGGTTAAGTACCTTCCTTGTTCAAATACTTATTTGTGAAAATTTGTTTTTTTTCTAGAAGGATTTATATTAACATTTAAATTCATTTCCCTAGGAAGCTAAGTGTGTAATGGTTTATTGGCTTATTTCTCAAAGGAAGATAAAATGGAAAATTGGAGTGAATGTAGCATTAGCATACATTTTGTTTGTTTAATGAAAGAATGTACAATCAATAATTATGCTTTGAATTTATATAATGTGTCTCATCAAGGGACCTCAGACTCCTTCATGTAACAGGAAGATGGAGAATAGAAAAGGCTCACAGAACAACAGCAAGGGGTAGGGGAAATAAAGCAATTTACTTGCTCAAGGCCCAAAGTATGAACTTTCACATTACAGGGAGTCTCTGGCCCTGTTTCTCCATCTTTAAAATGGAGATAATGACGCCTGCTCCTGGGTTTGCTATGCACATTAAATGCCACTATACATGTACAGCATGCAGTGCCATATCTGGCACTTACTAGAATTTTCTCAGAGAAGACTAGGTGCTAGAGATACCCAGGTAAGATAATACCCAGGGCATAAGGCAAAACAAGGCTTCAATAGTGACAGAAATGGAAATTCTGGGTGTCCAGCACAAAGATCTATGTGTCAGGCTGTTTCCTGAAGGCCTCAATGTAGAGAAGATCTCCATAGTGAGACCTGGGAAAGTGACCTACAGACAAGACCCAAATTCCTGGAGAAATTTGACCTATTGTCTGTATTATAGCATCAGGCTGCAAGAGTGGCATTTTGGAGGAATTGATTGCTCTAGTAATCAGTGATTTCTTAGGGTTCAGCCTCGTAATGCCTGTAGGCCAGGTTCAAATTCACTGTAAAGATGGAATAAAATGGACTTTATGTCAATATGTAAGTACCTTGAGCTATAGCCATTCAGTCATGAAGTAGTGATGCTACATTACACATAAGTGCAGCACCCACCAGGATACAATGTCAGAAGTATCTGGTTGGAACGAAATAACAACAAAACGCCCTATTTTATTAAACTTGGTCATAAATTATGTCTTCAGCATATGGTGGAGTGAAGTCTGTTACCTTTATATATAATTGTTTCAGTGTTTTCTAAAATCTATGTCCTATTCTACCAGTCTGTCTGCACAATAGTTCAAAACCTTCACCTACATGTTGACACTAAGGTGGTAGAAAGCCTAATTTAACTAATGAAACTGACTGTTGGTTCAAGGTTATTTGTCAACACTCCTTATTTTAACCATTTTTGAGTGAGAAAAGAAAGAAACAACTATAGGCAGTACCTTGTTTAATGGGGGGAAATGGCAGCTGCCCCTCACTGGCCCCAGTAGTCCAGTGCCCCATGAGTTGGTGAGTATGTGTAAGTAATATACCAGTCTGGCACCCTTCATCAGGGAGCCAGAAGAAAAGTGAGAGGGCCCCTCCAACACCGCATTCCACCACATTCTTGGGATGAATTGCTGGTCCATCAAAAGGATAGAAACCAAACTTGTGGAGATTTGGTAGCTTAAAGGCAGCAGAATAGAAGTGAAAGAGCCAAGGAAGTACTAAAAAAAAGTGTCCCAACCAAGGCCTTATTGTCTTCATCTTGATATTGGCTCCAATGATGCCCCTATTTTCTTCTTGACTCCAAAGTACATTCTGAATACAAATAAGATTGAATATTGCATAAGGGGGGAAAAAATCATAGGTTTTTGTATTGCAATTTATCCATGTATATTATTTTAGCTGGTGATCATCATTCCAAAAGGTAAGTTGGGGAACTGTTATTAATGCCATTTTACAGGTGACATAAGGAAGACCCAGAAAACTCTAAATGATTTACACAGCTCCAGTGTGTGGGGCAGGGGTGGCGAATCTCCAGGCTGTATAAGACCCACACAATCATTTGGCATAGGACAGCTGAGACACATAGGCTTCTTGCTGGCTACCTCAGGCCTGTCTGCCTGCATTGATAATTTTGTATGGTCCCAAAATGATATTACAAATATATAGCTGGCCCTTGGCAGGAAAAAAAGATTCCTCACCCCCTGTGAGGCAGGGGTGAGAGAGGGGGTAAAATAAAAAGAGAATAATCTAGTAATCATGCAGAGGACTACAGAGCTTTAAAAAAAGAAAAGGAGAAACAGGGGTCTTGCTCATTCATTTATAGATTTGTTCACTCCGCAAATATTTATTAAGCCAGGCACCGATCTGTGTGAGGGATGCAATACAAAATAAACCATGTTCAAGCTCCTGTATTCGTAGACTTTGTTATAGTAAGAGAAGACAGGCAAAAGCCAAATGAATAGAAACACAATGTCAGCTATTGGTGATTTGGGGAGAAATTCACCAAAAGAGAACTTCTCTACCTGGAAGAGATAAGCCAGACTGACTGTGTATATTTGTGTGTGTGTGTATGTGTATGTGCGTAAGCCAGTACTGGGGCTTGAAGTTGGGCCTCATCACCCTTTTTTTCTGCTCAGCTCTGGTACTCTACTATTTGCGGCACACCTCTACTTTTAGCATTTTACTGTTTGACTAGAAGCAAGTATCTCTTGGATTTATCTGTCAGATCTCAGCCTCTTGAGTAGGTAGGAATACAGGCATGAGCCACCAGCACCAGGCCCAAACTGATTTTTTTAAATCAAAGTTCTCAAACCTTAAATGTAACGCCCATTGGAATACAGCATTGGTAGTGAGAAAGGGATGGTGAAAACAGCATCCTTATAGATCACTCTTTTTGACATTATGTTTTATTAATGGCTCTGCTTAATCTGGCTTTGGATCATCCCTCTGAGATGATTGCATGGGCCCCGGGAAAAGGCCATGTCTGCCACAAGTATCACCAGGGAAGAAATGGAAACAATAATACGTTTCTAAAGTCCTTAAAGTCCTGCAGGTAGGGCTCCCCATGGCTACTGAGAATGTCCTTTGATGTGAGCTTGACAAAGAAAGAGGAGCAAGGTGCCAGTTTAGAGAGGATAGCTCACATTTACATTTTATTGGAGAACTGCTATTGTTTCCGTATCATAAAACTGCAACAATTATAGGACCATCATAGACCCTGCTCAATCCATTTGCTGAAAATTGCTTGAAAGTGTAACACTTGACTACTGTGGCTTTGGGTTGTCCTCATTGTTTTTCAAATTAATACCTTGTCATTGTTTCAGCAGGTGTTAAGAAATGTTACTAGCATCCCAGGGGCCAACTATTGGCCCTTTGCTTGATAATTGTTTGCTTTGTATCAGGGGGAAAAAAAATATACAGTCCTACTGTTTCCAAACCTTCCTCATTTTCACCCTGGAAATTACACAGAAGTGTTAACTAACTTCAATTTGCAGGGCCTGACAGTCACGTCTCCTAGAGAAATGATACTTTGTGATCTAAGGTAAATCACAGTAATGAAAACTAATCTTGTTGAGTTATTAGCAAACATACATATCTACTGTGGAAATTTAAGGGGTTTGTGGCAGCTATCCTAATGACCCATATTACAATGTTTTAATAGGTTTCTTTGGAGATAACTTTGATTTTGACATCTCAAGTGGTATACAGTCTGAGTTGTTGGGGTTTTTTTAGCTTTATAATAATAAATCATTTCTTAACAACTGGATGAACCACTTGCTTACCTTTTCAGAAAAAAAAATCTAATTTATTTAAAAATCAAATGTATCCCCTTCACCGCTACTTTTTTATTATTATTCAATATTTTAAATCTGTACTGAGAAGCAAGGACAAATGGTTGAATGTCTCATCTAAATAAACTAGTTTCAAATACTCACCATACATATTCAGGCTCTATTACTCCCTACCCCAAAGTGAGACTTGGGTAGAAGGGAATATGGTTTCTTTAATGCCTTCTCAATTTTCTGAGCCAGAAAAGGAGAAAGGAGGTTAGAAGACAGAGTATATTTACATACTGTTCAATAGGGGTTTCAATTTATTATTTTCATTTTTAGAAAAGGAGAGAGAGAGATAGAGTATATTCGCATATTGTTTAATAGAGGATTCAACTTATTCTTATTTGGTTATCTCTTAAGTAGATGTACAAAGGTGAAATCCAGCATTTCAGTTTGTGTGAGTACAAGGCATCTTGATCAATGTTACCACTTTCATGGTTTAAAGAAGAGCCAAAGAACGTCTCTGAGTTCTGCAGGAAAGATTTATTTATCTACAGGATAAATTTGCCAGAAAAAAAAAACAACCATATATATGTTAGCAGTAGAAATGTATCTATAAGGTCCTACAGTTGTAGCTCCCTTGTTAGCCAGACTTGATTTCCAGAAAGAGCAGAGGGTTCTAATATGAATTGCAGCCAGTCTAGGCTACAAACAGAGGTGATCCCAGCAAGGTAATGACAAAAAGGGGGCAGGGTTGGGGGAATAGGAGAAGAATAAAGATGCACAGGAAGTGTCACTGTTTGCAGGTCCCATTTTCATGTTCTCTCATTTCTTTTCAGAAACCTGGAATGGACGTGGCCGATGCCTACGTGACTTTCGTCCGCCACTCTCAGGATGTCCTGCGTGATAAGGTCAATGAGGAGATGTATATAGAAAGGTTATTTGATGTAAGTAAATGCCTTCTCCTCCTTGCACACCAAGGAGGAGACCCTCCAAAATGTGACAAAATAAGAGACAGGAGGATAAGTCACATTTTGAGAAAACGGATTGGTCCTGATTCAGACAAAAAAAAAAATCCTTTCTTCTCCCTCTTCCTTAGGCTCTTATCTGTCATGTGTCTGTTCTGAACCCACTCCTGGTGTGGCAATGTCTTAGTCTCAGTCTGTGTGATACGTAGGACGGCTCACAGCCTCCCGGCAAGCAGGCGTTCCACGCCGAGCTTGTGAGGCAGCTTTCTCTAACTGGCAAAGACCTTTCTTGGTCATGGTTCTCCTCCTTGCCATCTGGCCACACTTGAGGGAGATGTTGTCATCCAGGCCAAGGCCAGCTTCCCTCGCCTGGGGGTGGTACCTTCCTGACACCAGCTGTGACGTGCAGATGTGCAGTAAATGTCACGTTGCCATCCCTTCAGACTTAATTTGGATGCTGGAAGACTAGAAAACCTTGGCCCTGGATTTTGGCAAGCACGAGACTGTGTGGTTGCCTTTCTGAACCTTGGTGCACCCCCATCCACCTGCCCACCTGAAAATTATAAGAAGCAGAGAGAGGGGCGGGGGGAGAAAGAGAGGGAGGGAGGAAGGGAAGGAGAAAAGACCAATATATAGGGCTACCAGATCTGAACAAAACCTCAGAAAAGGCAGAGTTTTAAGACAGAATAGTCTTCAGGCAATCTTATTTTTACTGTGACTACATCTGCTTAGCAAAGCAAGCCACTGGGGCAAGGGGGGGGGGGGGGGAGGGAGAAAGAAAAGAAGTCTGCTCGGGTCTCAAATCGCCTGCCTTTTCAGGCCAAAGCAGATAGGATTGTTTGATATAGCCAGATATTTTGCCTCAAGTTTCTGCTGTGTTTGCCAGTATAGACCCCTGCCAGAGTGCATAGACGCTGATGTCCCTGTCTCTGTGTGGCTGTAATTATGCAGGCGACTTCTGTCTCGTGAAACGTGAGCTCTTCCTGTCCAGGTTTCTGTATTTTTAGTGCCAGCCCGAACATTAATGTTTTGGTCTACGACGGAATCCTTGTTTCTATATTTTTTTTTCTGTGATTGTGTTCACCAATTTACACTGAGTTTTGTGTGTATGTGTGTGTGTGTATGTGTGTGTTTTTGTTCCATAGCTAAGTGAGCTCATTGTTGGCACTGCGTTTGGATTTCTGCAGCTTCTGACTTTTTTTTATATGCTTTGTCTTCCAGCTCATTTGCTTTCCTAGTGTGTTGAAAAGACTCCTTTCTTTTTTTTTCTTTTCTAATCATCCCTTTTCTGTGCTCAATATCCCTCTCTCCCCAACATCATCACCTTCCTTTGACAAAACCCTTCTTACTTTTTAATTCCCACTCGTCCTTCCTTGGATTAAAATGGAACTTATCTCTCATGTCAAATGTTTTATCACATTATATCAAGTGGCATGAATTAGAATCAAATAATCTTCCTGTGTACATCTTCTAGCATGACCCACATCCACTGAGAATGCCTCATACATAACATAAAGCTCAGCAGCAGGTCCTGTCCGCCTCTCTGCATGCATGCCTTTATGAAAGTCCTGAGCCTACTATGTCTGGGCCACGGTCCCCTCATCCAATAGGCATTGAAAACAGACAGCACTCTCGGTGGGTCTGTGTTTAGGAGTGTGGACACCCTGCCCATCTCCACTGAATCAACTCCAAACTACAAATTTCCAAGAAGCCTGTGGATTGTTCTTTTCAATGCCTAGGTTGCCTTTTTCTTTTTCTTTTTTTTCCTTTGATCAGTATCTTCTAATTCTCAGTTTTGTGTGGCCTGTGTACGCGTGTGCGTGCGTGTTCCTGTGTGAGCGTGTGTGAATAATTTTTGTGTGAAATTCAAAAACATCTAGTACTGAATTTGATGTTTAATCTATAGTTAAGCCTGCTACCTCATTGGCAAATCTTCTACTTTTCCCTCTTTAAAAAAAAATAATTACAACAGCAGGGGAATTGTTTTAAGATAGAGATGTCTCAGTGACAGCAAGGCAAATGGTCTCTTTGGTGACTTTTTTAAAGGAAATGGCAACCAAGTCTTCATCCTGTCAAGAATGGCACAAGTGGGCTTGCCTAGCACAGCTTTAATATGAACTGATAGTTAAATGTCACTAAGACTATCCTTTTCAGAAAGCAAATTCTGTTTAAGTTTGTCCAAAAATCCACAAATGTCTCTATACCTCTCTAATTCCCTGAACCAGCAGAAGGCATGTGATATTGTGGGAACTTCCACTAGTTCACTTCATTTTGTCCCAACTTTCTGTTCCCAAGTCTTGGTTCTACCTTCCTGACTATCTGATTTTAAAGCCTTAACCATTATCAACTGTACCCTACTCCCAACTTCATGGGAAAGTCTGTTTTACAGGAGCTTATTTCGACACAAATTTCTTGGCCATTTACTTTCTTACTTTCCCACTAACCTGATCCTCTAATTTACAGAATATATCGGTGCTAGGCAACCTAACTAATGTAGTGTAAAAAAAAAAAAAAAAAAGTTATTGAATCTGTCATGGATTTAAAACATTTGTCATTTAAAAAAAAGGCCCAGAGCTTCTCAAAAAGCTTCATTACCATGCAGCCTCAGTAATTTAATTCAGTACTTACTGTTTTTCTATAATCTAGCAGCAAAACATCAGATTACCAACATGTTTGATTATTTTCGGCTTCTGTTTCCTCAAGCATGGTGTTTATTTCTTTGCATAGATGATCTGTAAAACTCTTTGTGTCCACCAAGCTAAACAAGGGAATAGGAATACTGAGGCAGAAGGGTCTTGTGAAAGCTGCTACCCTCTGTTCCTTACGGCGATGAACTTGTTCTTTAAATTCCACTTCTTAGTGATGGTGGTCCTGGAGCCGGTTTCTAAATAATTGGCAGAAACTTCTCGAGAAAGACTTGTTGATCTGAAAGGTTTCTCTTCCAAATTGTTGCATTTTGATAAATGGCAAAAATGAATAATAGCAAATTAACATTTTGACTGAAGAAAAAAAAATATATATCTCTGAAATTGTTTGCTGTTTGGGGGTTGTCGTGTCGCTCTCTGGTTTTTAGTTCCTGCTGGCATCTGTCATTTCAGAGGCATGTTCTAAGCATCCCTGTTGTGTTTTAAAACCGTGTTTCAAGTCTCAGTTTTATTTACCTGATACATCCCTCAAGTTCTTGCTGTTCAGTATTGTTCCTTTTTTTTTTTCTCCCCCTATTGCGTGTGCCATTGTACAAAAGGTTTGGATGGCTTTTAGTGTATGTTCGTAGCTGAGACTATTTGGAATAATAGCTGGTCATTTAATAGTGCATTTCTGTTTTAATAATGCCTCTATTCCGTGTTCTCTGAGCGGGATTTTCCCTTGCCTCATCATTGTACTTTTGGCTGGAAGAAGGTGCTGTGGGAGATTATCGGCATAGCATTTGGGGCTCTATATTTGATGTTCTGCATTTTTATCTGTGTTATTATGTAACTTAAGAACAGGCTTTCCAAATTCATCTTTACCCATTTTTTTAAAAACCAAGCATTCTCTATGTTTATTGGAAATATGCATTTGGACATGATGTTGTCTACCAGGTTTGGGAAGGTTTGGGAGGTTGCTATTGCTGTTATTGTTGTTGTTTGTTTTTGCAGTAAAGGTTTTCCTATTTATTAAACTAAATGGTTGTATAAAACATGAACCATACTTTTTTAAAAAATCTACCTTTAAAAGAAGACCCTAACTGATCTAAAATAATGTGCTGATCAGAAAAGTGTTTACTTTCCTATGACATTTTGGATGTGCAGCTATACCTTTTTTAATCTGCATTTTTTTCCTGAAAAAAAAAATGAAGCAGCAATTGTGTATTGTCTTCATTTGCTGCAAGATAACTGTTTCTAATATTTGGAAATAAAATATTCAGAGATTTAAATGTAGAATATTCTAATATGTACAATAGCAATGAATTTAAATTATAGCAAAGATGCTGAATTTTTAACAGACAATCAGATTGCTCTAAGACTCAAGTGGAAGCTGGGCCTCCTTGACGAGTATTGCTGATTTTTAAAGGAAGTCTAAAACCTGAGTATGAAATAATATTCTCATTCCTAAAGCAGTAGAGAAAGGGGAGAAGGCCCCTAAGCTCAAGAAGTAACTTGAAGATACAGATTTAAACTTGGAGTGTCCATAAATCATGCAGATGGCTTTTCTTTTCCCTTTTCTCTAGTGCTTAATTCAACATCTTCCCCCAAACAAAAACATGCTTTTTTTTTTAGAGAGAGAGATCAGATCATCAAGAGAATCACCTAAGATTTCAAGATCTAAACAAAAATTAATTTATTTTCTTTCCTCCCTGTACTTCTTGAAGACACAGACTGAGAAGAAAATCAGGATTAAAAGAGATGTGCTTAGGGTGAATTCATCTGCTTAAACCTCACAGGCTCGGAGATGAATGATTAAAAAGCCATCTCGAACTTGGATGGAGTCCATGTGGGTAGTAATGCTGCATCCGCTCTGGCTTTCTGCAGGCCCCGTGTCACTGTGAAGCAGGCCTGGGGAACATTTGACTGGAGATGATACATGGATTATCTAGGTCAATTATACACTTAATCTGCCTTCTGGAGGATTTAGTATTTGCAGATTGACTCTGCATTTGGCTTCTCCCTGGCAGTTATCAGATAGGAAAGGGCCCCTTCCCAAACTGCCATGTAAGAACTTAATCAGGCAGCGCAATCAGATTCGGGTGGAAATGCTGCTCTGTATTCTTTGCCTTGCACGGATTTTAATTTGCTGTTCTATTATCAAACCGTGGGTTTGTCCACTTGACCTGTGGCAGCACAATAATGGAGTGTGAATAGGTCCCTTTCAAGGGGCTAACTTGGAAAAAAAAAATGTAACCTCATACTTATATTAAAATATACTTCTTGTTGTTCTCTATGAAACCACAGATAACCTTATCTAATATTTTTTTTAAAGTACTTTTTTTTAGAGTCCCA